GCAAATAACTTATCAGTAACAATTAATAGCATGAGAAGCATTATTTTAAACTTCATGAGCAAAAAAAATTCTTTGATTGTATTTTCTCTTGCTTCTGCAAATAAGATCCAAGCATGTAAGTTCTATCTACCTACAGAAGATTCTTGGTTTGTAGCCATAGTTGTTATGCTCAAATTTATTAAGTTTTCACAGAATTCTGCAGAAAAAGTAAATATAATTATAGCTATATATAAAATCTATAAATATATCAGGAGGCCTGGGGAAAGGTTTATACACATAAAACGTTGCTTGCTTTTAAACAATTATTTCCATTGATCAACTAAAATATATTGTTTCTCCCTGCCAACCTCTTCTCAAAGCATATATTCATGTATTTCAAAGCCAGAACAGCCTGTCAGGTCTGATCACCACTGCTGCACTTCCCAGAAAATGTTACCTGGTTATGCTTACAGTAAGACTATGCCGGTTTTGAGTTTCCAGTGGCTTAAATAAAGAAGAAAACTTACAAAAATACATGTTCCCTGTTTTTAGCTGAGCTGGTAACTTTGCCTTTGGCATTGCAGCTGCTGCATTTGATGGCTTTTCTCCGGTTCCCTGTACAAGCGATATCTGAAATTTTTCTCACCATTTTACAGTGAGTCTTGAGCACAGAACTTAAAGTCCAGGATTCAGGTAATGAATGGTGAGCTTTCAACAGGGTGAAAATGCACCTTTCTTACTTCTTATGATCTGAAAGAAAACTTGAACACTCAAGTATCAGAAAAAAATCCCAACCAACCAAACAACAAATCAGCAACCAATCTTATTAAATTCCACCATTTCTAGACCAGTTTCACATCTGGAGGCCTTGAGTCATGATTTCTAAGTGCCCATCTGCTGCAGCCTTCAGCATTTGACAGACCCTCCCTGCAGAAGACCCCAGCATGCTCCTTATAGATGAAACAGGGCAGAGCAGGACCTATGAGGAGGTCGGCACTACATGGCAGAACATAGCAGCTGGCATTCTTCAGCTCTCTGTTTCTCAGACACCCCAGATTTCTCCCTAAAAGCCTGCTTCCCTTACTGGCAATGCTCGGCAGCTCCTGCCTGCAGGAATACACCAGAGATTTTGGCACTAGCGCTGTGAAATCTTGAAGCGTTGTTTTATGGGGAGCCTCTCGCTCCCGGCACGGAGGGAAGGGAAGGAGGCAAAGCCCAACAAAGCTGTTACTGCTCGCCTCAGCCCTCCAAGCCACACATGGCCGTGCCCACGCAGGCACACACACACAGACGCTCAGCGAGAGCCTTCCTTCCCCGGCTGCGCTCAAACCAGCACAGCCCCGGGCCAGGCGGGGAGAAAGGGTCCTCCTAATTGTCATTTATCAATATTCATAAAGAACCTGCCTTAACCCCTCTGCTACGCGCTCAGGGAAAAAAAAAAAAAAAAAAAAAAAAAAAAAAGAAAAGAAAACTAACCAAGAAACCCACTGAAACGCAAAATGAAACGCAACCAAAACAAAAATAAAATGAAATAATCACCTCCCTGCTCATTACCGCAGGGGATTTCCTCTCAATGTCACCACTGCCCTGCGCAGTAATTGGCATTATCTGTTATCTCTGAAGCCGTAATAAGGCTTGCCACGGGGCATTTTCTGTAATCATATTTTTATTTGTCAGCTGGCGAGCCGCAGACGGCGGCGCGGAGCCGGGCCGGGCCGCGGGCGCGCGGCGGGGCCGGGGCCGCGCGGCGCCAATGGCGGCTCGCGCCGGTGATGTCACGGGCAGCCAATGAGGCGGCGGCAGCGCGCCCCGCCCGGCGCTGCAGCATTCCCCACAGCCACAGGGAAGCGGCGCTTCCCGAGGAGCCGAGCGCTCGGCCCCGCCGGTGCGCACACGCGGGTTCCCGCAGGGAACGCAGCCGGGCACTCACCCAGCTCAGAGCTGACCCGCACTGCGGGGGCAGCGCATTCACAATTGGCTCGGGCCACCCTAAAGGCCCAGAGTGTAGGAGAGCAGACACCCAGTAGGAGGTGAATGGCAGCTTAGGCAAAACGCATGGTTTGTGTCCAGAGGAAGCTTCCCAAGCTGGGATAGCCTCACACGGATGTCGGGGGGAGCTCAGGCTGCTGGGCAGGCACTGCAGCACGGTGCGGAGCCCTGGGAGCGCAGGGAAGGGCGGGGAGGAGAACTGGGAATGCTGCATCCCTGAGCCAAGTGCTTGCCAGCTCAGGGAAGGCAGCCAGGTAGCTCCGATCCCACGCGATACCCCGGCCATACGAGTGGTGCCACTCGTACCCGTGGGTCCCTGGCGTGGCACGGTGCTGTGTCCACACACAGTCCTCAGAGGACGCGACAGTGCCTTACCCATAAGCACTTCCCCATGGCCGGGGACCTGCACCACAAAACCCTTTGAAGTGACTGCACCACAGAGTGAAGTACATCAAATATTATATTCCCCCACCGCTTCCAGTAAATAAAGTAAAAACAGGAAGCACATAACATTTTTTAAATAAAATGCAGACACAAGCTCCACACCTATTCTGCTTCCTTTTCTCAGTAGCTGGTTTGAAAATACCTCTCAGACAGAGGTGATCTCTCCACATCTTAGCAGCAGAAGCTTTTCACTGGGGAAAAGCTTTTCACTGAGGGGGACTGAGGAATCCTTTTTGACTCTTTGGTCCAGGAATACTGGTGTATCAATGTGAATGCTGAATGTGGTTACATGCTGCTGTTAAAGTAAGCCACAGGTATTTCCCAGTGTTTTGGGATGTACAGGAAGAAGATGGGACTATTATATGGGTGTGGGGACACCAGACTATCAATCTATTTTGCCAGTAGGCTGGAGGCACCCACATTTAGTCATTAACCAAAGCAGAAGCCTTCATTTTTCATTGTGGTCATAACTGGATAACCTGGCTGATGAGATGATTTGTCATTTCACTGCCCCACGACAGGACAAGGTCAGGCTTCATTGCTTAGGAAAACTGATTAAGTTTTACACTCACATATATATTTATGCATGCTCTGATTTTCTGATAACTGTCCAGAATACAGCACAGAATATAACACAGACCACACGAGTCTCAGTGACCTGGAGGCAGAGCTTATGATTTACTGCTAACTTAGCCAGCACTAGATGCTCATCAGGTGGGAGTTAGCAAGGAGATGGGATTTACTGTCAAATGAGACTACTGCACACAATCCAGTATGTTTAACAGAGGAAAATGGATTCCTCAAGAAAGATATGCATCTCCCTAGAAAATATTACATAGTGTTAAACCTATAGAGGTGCTAGTCTGTCTGTCTGACAGCCTCACCCTGATCCTCACTTAGTTTAATAAAGTCTCCCAGATCCAGAGGCATCCATAACAAATCCAAAGGACTAGCATGTATGTACATATATGCATGCCCTTAGTAGGAACTTCTATCCCAATGGAGATTCTGATTCCTCTGGAATATTCATTTGGAAGCATAAATAATTTCTCTTCAGCTGTACTTAAACATTTTTTGAGTGCTGTTTGACTTGATCCCTTACGTATTAAGCCAAGTTGGGAATAGAAACATGTAAGTATGCAATATTGCCACCAGTGGTTACACTGTCCAGTGTATGTAAAAAATAACAGGCCTACAATCTGCCAAGGATCATGCTGGTTCTAAGGAGGTCATGATCACAGTGTAGTTGAATAGCAGGGAGGAAAAACTGTGGAATTCAGAGAATAAAACTGGTCAGAGGTCACTGCCAACAGAGAAAACTTAGATCCGCTAGTTAGGCCATGCAACCTGCTCTTGGCTTCTCTGGGAATTTCTCTGACTATTGTAACCCTTCCTGTGTCAGGTAGGCATTGTCCTCAGGACCTTCTCACCTAGATTCACCACCTTTGAACTGCCTCTTCTGCTAAGAGTATGCTGTTATACTCTTTTTATACAGTATACTCTTAATATATCCTCAAGAAAGGCTCTTCTTTCCCTTTCCATTTATTAGATATATGCTCTCTTACAAGTCACTGTTTCCTGCTGAAATGACTCAGAGATGTAGGGGGAGGGGGCTAGAAGAGCACGTTAAATATTTAAACATCCATTTTCACTGTGGCCATCTGGTTTGTGAGCTTTCAGCACAGAACTGGGGGTACAGAAAATTCCTTTATGGCTACTGAGAAGTAACACACAGTGATTATGCAAATCCAGCTACTGCAGTATCTCTGAGTGGCCCTTGGCCTCCTGGAGTGGGGGATCTGTGGCTGGCTGTGGCTTTGGAGAAGCAGCCATGCAGACATAATGTAAATGCTCTCTCCCAGCCAATCCAAATGCAAGGAGCTGTATTTGTGAGAAATGAGCAGGCAGCTATGGGTCACTAGCTGTACAGAAACTCTTGTGCTAAGACTGAGTGCAACAACTTGATTTCAGTATAATTTAAATTATCTCAACTTCCTGAAGATGAAAGAGAAATGGGTCCAATATAAAATGGTACCTGAAAGCACAGGTTAAACCCCACTCCATGGTTAAATAATATGATGGAGTCAGTAAGAAAATTCTTCCCTACTGGAAAGGAAATTAAAGGCAACAGTGACTCAAATGCCCAGAGGAGACTCAGTAGAGGTTGCCAAAAGCCAGCAGGTTTCCAAAAACTGAAGGGAACCATAAAATGACTTCACTGTATTTGCAGTTGTCCCAGGTTTCTTCAGGGATTCATTTTGATACAGTGTCTGTAGTTCTTAGTTATTAGAAAGGGCAGCAAAATTATGGAAATTAAATTATTTTTCCTCGGTGGTTTTGGTTTTCCTGTTTAAAGCCTTCCCTGTGAATTAATTCTTCTTCAGTGAAAAATGACAGATAATCTTTTCCATGAGAAGTCTGTCTGTGACTAGTACACTGTCTCACATATGGACAAGAATTAAAAAATACACCAGCACTTTACCCAATGCTTTTACAGCTTTACAACATCAGTTACTTAAAATTAAAAGTACCAAGGTAATATTCCCTTATTGTAGCAGGGAACTCCCATTGGAAATGGCTGTACTCACCATATTGAATGACTATGGCAGAAGTCTAAAGCAGAGATGATTTGTCGGAAGAACTTCCTGGCTTCTTTTGGTGTCAATCTTCCCTTTTTTACGAGATAGTCGAAGAGCTCCCCACCTGACACATGTTCTAGCACCAAATACCTAGAAAAACACAAAGCCAGGATTTTTTAAGTACGTGATCACACCAACCCCCTCACTCTCACACAGTTATATACAAACACTTGTGTTTTTATGTAGTCAAGGGGAACACTTCCAGAAATAACAGTGGAAGAGAATTGGAATTTTAAAATCAGGAGTGATTAGTATGTTTTACAGTGGTTCTGCAAACTACACACCTGCCATTGTTGGATTCAGAGTCCAATGGCATAGCAAGACCTAATCAGGAAGCTAAAAATTACTCCAAAGACCAGGACAGGAAGCAGAGAATAATCAGGTATAAGCTTCCACAGCAGGTCTCAAAGCTATAGTGGAGTAAGACTCTCTACCAAGAAGCCTCAGGTTCTTTAGCCAAGCTGACAATTCTTTTATAAAACAGCTGTGGAAAAGATGCAGTCAGACAGAACCAGACAGATGTCAACAAGCCAGAATGAATTAAGAAAAGGTGAACAATGTACATTATTTAAAAAAAAAAAAAAAATGAACTACACATGTGTGCAGCCTATATAAAAGCTTCGCTTTTGGTGCTGAACAGCAGTGATTGGCTGGGGCAGCTGCCTGGCCTTGCAACTCTCAGGTGGAAAATGTGGCACTGAGTGAATACATGTGGCTCAAAGGGGGCCGAGGAGCATGAGAGGAAACTCCTGACCTCATACAGCTCTGCTGGCAGTCATAGAATGAAGAGTGAAACCTTCTGGAAGGAAAGGACTTGCCATGGATGAACCACCTTGCTGTTTTAAGTAGGGCTAATGAAAGGCAGCCAAGCAGAGGAAAGGTGCATAAATCTCTGGAGATGTTGCCAAATAGTGGGAGTGACAGTTTTCCCAGGGAAGTGGCAGGAACACCATCGACAGAATCCTTTAAAAACAAACAAGTTTGAGTGTACTTCTCAATCCCAACAGTGCAGCAGACCATACTGAACTGTATATGCAGCATGATCCCTCAACCCTCTGCTTTACAGCAGAATACTTTTACTACCAGAATTAATCCAACTCCTCAAATTTTAGTGGACAATGTGGAATAATTAAACCAGGATATTGTCTTTTCTGTATCTCATGCAGCATAATCTCCAAGGAAATTCCTGAATTTGAAATGAAAAGATTAATATAAATTTGGGGTCTTAATTAGTCCTGTTTTCAATGCTTACAAAAAGCTAGAACAATACAAGGACTAAAAGCAGTTGTGAGTAAAGTAAAGCTTGCTCAATGATAATGGCATTAGTCTTGAATTTGCAAAAGTGGGACTTGAGCTCCTGGTCCATCATCATCTCCTGTGTAACTTTCATGTGTCAGCTCCCAGCTACCAGGAGGAGAAAGCACTTCCCTGCCTTACAGAAAGACAGACATTGGTATTGTCTTGCCAGCTAAATAAGTTTAATTAATAATATTAATAAGCTAAATACTAAAAAGACACAAAAAATTGACAAAACCATAAAATTATAAACTTGAGGAAAGTAAAATTGTACTTTTGCATATTTTGATCAAAACCAAAACAGTTAAAAGAAACATAGTAATATTGGCATTTTAAATTTAAAATCAATTAAAAAAGAGAAAAATCTTAACTTGAAAAATCCCATTTGGAATATGTGGGTTATCTTCTTTCCAAACAGATGGGTAGTTGCCCAACTGTCTGCTGCGTACACCCTGGTAATTTGGAGATCACTGTTTATAGACATGAGATCTTTTGAGCAAGTCATTCAAACACAGAAGAAAGCTGATATGCAGCAACCATGGGCACTGGGGTGTCCACAATGTCAAGTCCCAATCCTTGGTTCCTAAGCCTTGGCTAACAGACAGTCTGGTAAGAAGTTTACTGAAGAATTCATTCTCCCTCTCATATTAGAGACAGATCTGTCTAACTATCCAATATGGCAGACCCAATTCTGGCACGGAATCAATCCTAAAATTCTTCTTGACAGCTTACTGTCTCACTGTGCCCAGAAGAAGCTGTATACAGCAGTGCATCTTGCCCCCAAAATTCAAATTGCTAGCTGCTTTCTTTTTCTGGGAGGTATCTTACAAAGATGATTGCAGTTACAGATACAGAACACCCTCCACACTGGCTTCAAACAAATGGTTTTTAAAAAATACAGACCCAGCATTTCTGTCACCCACAGCAGGAACTGTAAAGCAATTTATTTTCATCAACTTCATCTTATTAAAAACACTCAACAAAAATGCACTGACACATTGTATGAAAAATAAAACAAATTGAAAGACAGGGAGCATTTACAAGGTTATTCATTTTTTGCTTGCCACCTAGAAGCACTAGATATAATAATGGAAATGAACAGCGGAGAGCATTTGAAAAAGATTTGTGCCTATGACAAGTCAAGGGACAGGAAGAAGCACAGGAGATGATGTATTCTGATCTGACAAAGCCCCCAACATGACATGAGTGAGAAGGACGACAAACACATTCCTCTGTGGTTGAGTGCAAGAAAGAAATGCTGCAGGGATCATTCCACAAACACTACATGGCTAAGCTGCAGCTAGATTTGTGAGCTCAGGTTGTTAGCTTCCAGCCCTATTCCCTCCAGTACCTTGTGGGTTTTTTTTTTAGGGCAGCCCCCAACTAGGAGATTTTCTGTTAAACAAGGGCATAATTCAGCACCTGCCCCATCTCTGTACAAGCCAGCATTCTGCTGGCACATGACATGGCACAGCAGTAGTACACTTGTTCTTTCCAAACAGGCTGACAAGAGGGGTTTAAACATTTCCAAGTGTTGCACTGGTTCTAAGCACCACTGGGCAGTTACACAAACCCCACTAAGTGCTGCATATCTGTATCTACCCATCTCTGTGTGAGAGAGTGTGCCTATGACTCCACAGAAAACGAGAATAAACACTCTGAAAAGTCAAACAGAAAAGGCAAAGGAAAGAAAGAACATTATTCCCTGAGCTGGAAAATAAGGCATACACACGCTACATCTTTCCTGAATCCATGGCACAGAAAAGAATCCAAATCTTCTGTGTTCACATCAGCATCTAAAATCCTTTACTTTAGCAAAGTGGTAAAGGATTGGAAGTATGCTAATGCCAGCTCTTGGAGGATCTGGAAAAAGGTAAATAACACATAGCCTGTAGGGGAGAAAAACACTAAGAAGCATTTTCATGAGTCTCCCTTCCCTTTTATCTTTCCCAGATATGACAGGTTCTCACTTCGTTATAGTACTACTTTTCCAATTTATTCTAAGCAAGCAAGCAAGTTCTGAAAATCCCAGAACAATAACCAGAACTTTTCTCCTATTACATTTAGAGATGAAAAGCAACTTACTGGTGAATGAAGTTTTGGGGGTTTTTAATCCTGTCTGTGTAAGATTGACAACATCAATCTATCTTCTCATGGTAAAAATGTAAGAAAACCTGTTCTGCAATAGCCATTGCAAGGAGGTTCAGGGAAAGGAGAGACCCAGGCTCTGGCAGGACTAGCGTGCACACTACATGCTGTGCTGATACAGACAGGAGCTATGGTAGGACAAAAGACTGTAAGAGCACCTAGCTCTCCCGTGTTGGATCTTCTGGACACACCCCAACTCTTCCAATCCTTGCATTTCACATGAGAGAATGAAGTTTTGAGAAGCATTAACCTCCTGTTCTTTACTGATAGAGAATTGTGAAGCCAAGTGACTTGTCCAGGGTTACAGTCACCCAGTATTAGAGCTGGGATTAGCACCTGTAGTCCCTTGTGCTTTCTGCTCCATGCTGTCCCCACCACCAATTTCCACTTTGCCTGCTAGGAGACTGAAAAAGCCAGAAAAACAGCAGGGTTCTGCAACTCAATATGAAGGCAAGTGTATGTTAAAAATAAAGTCTCAATTACTTTTTCCTCACTGGATATATTCTCTAGGAGATTGCAAATATTCTCACAGGCTGCAGCTCACTTTCATACACACCAAGGTCCACATCTTGCATTATTTTCTCATGTCCCCGCTACAAGCCAAGACATGAAACTAAAAAGCTCTAGTTGAGTTTCAGTGCTTGAAGGAGACAAGACTTTGCTCTTTAAAAGCAAAGATAAATACAAGAATAATTGTGTTGATTGGAGAGGAGCAGAGAGATTGCATCCAGCAGCATTCTATCTATTGCCTTTGCCATTTTTCCATCTGCATCCCATCATCTCCACCTTCTCAATAAAAGACTTCTGAGTTCCTAACCTCAAATGACCCATTACATATCATCAGAGATGCAAGCTTAGAATAATCTTAGGCTTTTTTCTTTCTTTCTTTTTGGTTCATTTTATTTATTTTTTTCAGGAACCAAAATAGTACATAATCAGTTTTCATCAGCTCCTATCTGAAGGCTGGTTTTTGCTGTGATGCTTGACAGCAGCTTGGATTTTCCATTCCCAGCTGTTGCTTTGTGTGTGAGATTGTAAACTGGTATTGTCCCATTCTTGTCCAGTGCCCGCACAGCAAGGATTTCTCCATAATTAGATTGCTGTTGCACTACACTTCTATCACTTAGCAAAAAAAGGACACTTTTCATGATTATTTATCCTTTCCATCTGGTGGAACATGCCACAACTTCTTAAGAGGTACCTTTGCCCATGCCCTAGGGAGCTTTGAGGAATAACTCAGAGAGCCCTCAGTGAGGCAAGGCAGCTACATGCTACCTCCAAATCAGGATTGTAACTAAAGAAACAGGCTGGCTCCGAGCAATGCCAGGAAAAATGCTGTTAAAGAAGGACTAAGTGGCACAGAGCACTAGGACCATGCACTAGCAGATACTTCTGACAAAATAACAACAAAAAAAAAACCCCAATGCAAACAAACACATCAGTTATGATCTGTAAAGAACAAAAAGCTGTCTTTTAGCCAGTAGCAAAAATGGTGTGAAATGCTAAAATTCTTGCCAGATGGGATTGCCTGCAGCAGCCTGTTAGTGGGTATGCAGCTCTTGTTTTCTCAGGACAATTTACAAGATACTAACAGCTACACCAATTATGTATTTATTATTATAAAAGTGTTAAATGGAGTGATCTCT